CGACAAGCTAAATTTTCTATAGTCCATCCAAGCATTCTTCAGACCTTGTAATTCATCTTCAAGGCAAAATCAAGCTTGATACAAGCTCAAGTAAACGAGCAAAAGATGAAACTGAAACAGGGATGAGAAACAACTAGCTATGCAGAGGCAACCAAAGCTCATAATGGAAGTTACAAGATTTGGCCAACTTAACCAGCTCCTTTGCATTTTCAATTTCAGAATGCTCAAACAAGCCATCAATAACCCTCTGCATTATTTCTCTATAAACAAGTACTTGTGACTCGATAGCTTTCTTGCACAAGTGCAGTGCAAATTCAAATTTTTTCGCATCACAAGCCAAAGGAATAAGCATATGGAACGTTGCATCAACCGGAAGGCAACCATTTTGCACCATCTTCTGATACCACATTTTAGCCTCCTCCAAATTTCCCTCATCAACACACATTGTTATCATAGTATTGTAACTGAATTTGTCCGGTTTGAAACCCTTATTAATGATCTCCTCAAAGAACTGAATCGCCTTTGAAACCTCATGAACTTTAATCAAACCTCGTAATCTAATATTATAACTGCAAAGATCGGGAACAATATTTCTGTTTTCCATCACAATCCACAAATTTTCAGCTTCAGCAAATCTTTGACTTCCATAAAGTGCGTTTAACAAGGTATTACAAGTCACAATATTCGGCTTAATCCCATGCTTTTCTATCACATCCATCAAAAGTAAGGCAGAATCTAAAGAACCAGCCTTACACAATGCCTTAATCGCAAGGTTATACGACACTACATTAGGCTCAATTTCCAATTTTGCAGGCAATTCACGAAACAACTCCCCAATTTCATCATATCTTTCTGATCTAATGCATGATTCCAAAAGGGCATTGAAGGTAAAGACACTCCGCTGACAATTTAGTTGAGGCATTTCGTCGAACAGTTTACGTGCATGATCAAACATTCTCGCTTTACCATAAAGAAGGATAAGGAGACGGACAAAAGGCTCGTGGCGAATATCTGGGTAGTGTTTTTGATGCTCGATAATTTCTTCGATGCCTGAGAAGTGTTTGGCTCTAGCAAGGCGGTGAATGGCGAGTTCATAATAGCCACGTCCTTCACGTCGGAACTTAGGACACTTTGATGATTCTTTCATCAAATTTACAATATCTTGGACCGTGTGATTTGAAGAGGTAATATTGGTGGGTTTGGTTATTTTGAGATCTATGGTTTTGGTAGCTGCTTTATGGCTGTCTCCGGTGAAGATACCCCGCAGACGACGGATAGTTGAAAAAGTGGACATTTGATTTGCTTATTTTGGCGCTGAGTACTTGAGTAGGGAAGGGTCTGTACTTCTACTTCTTAAAGTAATAGTCATTTCTAGGTTCTTTGCACTT